GTTCAGGTTCCACATTCTGTGGTGATAAATCAGAAATCTTTATTGGAAAAAACAGACCTGAAACATAACAAGGCAGGAATATTAGAGGTGATAAAATCATTAACTGGTAAAAAGTGATAAAATCATTAAACACTCCAGTTGTTATAAGTTATTTTGTGTCATTTTTTGTTTCAATTTGTTCATAGATCTATCATCTATTAGTTGAACTAATGTTGTCTTGCTGCTGGGTTGGTTAGGAAGTGATAGCTTAGTGAAATCACAATACTAGCATCATGAGGAAGATAAAGGCTATAAAGGGATTTGCATTGCAGTTTTAATTGGGTAGCAAGAATAATCAATGCAATGACAGATGCATTGGCTAAGCAAAGGGATAAATAAACAATACTTGTTCTGGGTGTAAGTTGGGTATATATAATGTATGTCAGCCTTATGTTAGGAAAAGCTGATATATTTGCAAAAGCCGGAGGAAGAGTGATTTTTGAATTCAGTCTTTTTATGGAATTGGGTCATAGGGACTGGATTTTGAGTATTGGGTATTGGATCTACCCTTCTTACTTTCCACAGCTTCATCCATTTCTCCAAGTACAACTCTCTCTCTCTCTCTCTCTCTCTCTCTCTCTCGAGCTGATAGTTATAATGGTGTCACTTCTGGTTCAGGTTGTGCAGATGGAACTATGCAGAACTGAATAGCTTGGGATTGGATTTAATTTCTTGGTTATTTCAGGGTGTGTTGATATGTTGACAATGGTGTAAGCAATCTTTGATTATTTGTTTTTGTTAGGTCTAGAAAAAATGGTAATCAGCTTGTTTGTGAAAATAAACTGAGATGCTCGTCTTGGTAGTTTATTACTAAATAATTAGTTTTTAAATTTGTTATTATTATTTCATGTAAAAAAATGCATAAAAGTTACAAAAATTTGAAATAAATTTACATATAAAATGCATATGGAGTATACATCAATAATGAGTAAGCATTTACATATTCTTTCTCTTTCAAAGAATCTTTTGTTCAATTTTCTTTTTGAGAGAATTTGTTTACATTTAAAAACATTATAATATAATTTCCATTTAAACTTATTATTTAATTAAAATAAAAATTAGGAACATCATATTGAAGAAATGAGGGTGTTCACCCAAAATCTACTTGTCCCCTTCGCTTCAGGCATTTTAACAGGGGATAGGATTGGAAATAAGAAATCAGAGAGGGGTAGGATGCCCAAAATCTATTTGTCCAATTCACTTCAATCATTTTAAGAGGGGAGAGGGGATAGAATTGGAAATAAAAATCAGAGAAGGGTAGAATTGGAACTATAAAATCAGGGTATTTGGACGATGGACGATTCGTCAATTTCTCTTTTTTATAATGGGTAAGAAATTAAAATCATTCAGCTACTCTTGCTAGAGAGCCAGTCAACCAGGCAACATTCCAACTCCTAAGGAAATAGGCCCAATTGGTCTAATATTTGGATCCTTTACACGTGGAGACTGGATCTACTCCTCACACCGACTTTACAGGCACACTCCACCATATATTGAGAACATCTCCTGTATTTATGTATTATAATTTACAGAATATATTTCCAGTGCACCGTGGAATGTGCTTGTGAGGTTGTTGTGAGGCGTCCAGTGTGAGGAACAGATCCCAATTCTTACACGTGAACCCACCAGTGATGAATTTACATTTGTGCCCCACAAAGGGCACCCTCGCAACACATCCCTATCATGTATTAATTAAATAACATCATAGTGGAAATGTGCCTTGAGACGTTATAGGGCGCAGATCTGAACTCAGCAGTGATCATACCCATAATCTTCTTCTTTTTTATTTATTTATTTTTTTTTTATAAATCCACGGGGGGGGGGGGGGGTCCATACCCATAATCTACTTTAAATCTTTAATAGTTTAAAGTTTAAACACATTGTCACGCGTTACGTCATCTCTTGCTACTTTTGTGGAGATCCCCATCCCCATGAATGCGGAAGTAAATAATCTCACCCATTTTTTTATTATTTGTTAATTTTTTGGTAATGATTTTCTTTTAATTTAATTGAGTTTGTTAATTGTACCCATGAGAGATGCACTGATCACTTGCTCAAGTCTCAGGATGGGTACACCCACTTCCACGGTCCACCTTGGCGAATAACATGTGTGAATTTGTTTTTGGAGTCGGGTTTCTTTCCCACCAAGTAATCGGTTATATGGGATCCCATATAAATTGCTTGAACCACTCTCACTATAAGTATCTATCGAGTCTCTTCATTTGTTCTCAGCCTTTAGCTTTGTTTTACTCTATATTGCTATTATGTTCTCAATTTACGGGGATTGTGTGTGGTGGATAAACGTGAGGAGAGTTATCGTGGGAAGGAGATCCTTAGTCCTAAGAGCAGGATTAGGGATTTAGAATATTAGGCTTTTGGAATTTGCTGTTTTTTTTTTCTCATTTTTTGCTTTTGTTTTGATAATCAAGTCTTGAGTTAGGCGGGGCCAAATCACACTGGCATGAAATTGCTAAGTCCAAGCTCAAAAATCAATTTGGTTGATTTAGATTTATTTGTTTTTTTATTTAAGGCTCAGTTTTGAAATAATATAAATACAAATATGTACAGTGCAAATACATATAAAATATAAGGTTTTGTACTCAATAAATTTGTATTTATACTCCTCAGTTTGGAAGGAGTACAAACACAAATATGTGCAGAACAATTATATACAAAATAATACAAAATACATGGTTTTGCACTCTACATATTTGTATTTGTACTCCTTCCAAAYCGAGTATTTTGTATTATTTGAAAAGAGTACAAATACAAATATATATGTAGAGTGCAAAACCATGTATTTTGTATTATTTTGTATATAGTTGTTATGTACATATTTGTATTTGTACTCCTTCCAAACTGTACCTAAGGGATCGCTACTTTGTCTAATGAAAAATTCTTGGAACGGCAAGTAGTATTTTTAAAACAAGACTGAAAAATCGAGAATCCAGTTATGTTTCACCCCAAAATCGCTTTTTGGCCAAAAACCCAAAGTTCAAAATATTGATACGCCGGTATGGGCATATCGGGCAAATAGATACATTTTAGTGCTTTTTTTTTATTTTTTTCGCAACTGGTTTAGGGGAGCCGGTTTAGGCCTCCTCCACACCCTGAACCGGTCAGATCCCTAATACACTCACTGTAGGGGCGTATTGGAGGGGTCTCAGAACGATACGTATCGGCTGATACAGGCCGATACGTGTCGATACTTTGAACCTTGCAAAAAACCGTTGATTTGGTCAGCGAATTGTTGACCTAGGTAGTCAAACCATCAAACTATAATCTCGGACAATGGTTTTTGGTCATTTTTTGTTTTTTTTTTTGTTAGAATGGGTTGCCCATTCGGACCATTCAACCCAGGAACCGGTCCCAAAAATGACTCCCTGTCCGGTTCGGTTTTAAAAACCTTGCTGACAAGTGTGAGAATATGAATCTATTATAAGTGAATTAGGTTCAATCCAATCTAATAAATACTTTAGCCCATTTGGAACAGTCTAACTCAATGCTTGGACGATTGAATATGTTCAAATTGGTTTCAACCAAATCTGGTCCGTTGACCCCTATATTCTTATCGCCTATCAATCCAATCTAATCCCATATACATCCACTACAAATGGATCAGGTCCTATCCAATAAATACTTTAAACCATCAAATCTGGACTGGTCCAATTCAATACTTAATTGATTCATCCGATGCATTCAAATTGATTTTGATTTAAACATGGTGCAACCCAAAAAACCGGTGCATGGACACCCCTTTCCTGTTCAGTTAGATCCGGTTAGTGAACTGGGGGTTCCTATGGCAATTAGTGTTTTCTACTTTTCTTAACTCATTGTGGAGGTTTTTCGGGCTGTCTTCTCCTGGTGATCATGGTTACACCGTTACACTCCTTTTGCCCAACAAGTGAGTCTTTTCTTTAATAATATTCATATTTCTTTCAATTTTCTTACCATTTTAATTCTCTGATATTGTAATCTTAGCATTTAATGAATGGATCTCGCCTTATGGCTTATAACCCAATAATACTAGTATGTATATACATATGTTTATATAAAATTAATATATGCTTCTTATTAATAAATTTGGTTTAAATATTTATATTTTATACGATCATATATTTCATTGCTGTGGAGGTTATTTTTATTTATTTTATTAATAATGTATATTATTTGAATCTAATTTCTAAATCATTTATTTATCAAATATTATATTTCTAAAACATTTAATTATATACAATATCCAAATATGGTTTTCATTCTTTCTGGATCCGACCCGTTTACAGGACTAAAGTGAAAAGGATGTGACACATTTACAAGTCACTAGTGTGAAAGGAATACAGTATTTATACCGGAACCAGATCTCTGGCTATTGATTATTGAACCCATGGTCAAAGACCAATTCGTCACTACTCACGTCAACATTCTTGATTTTCCTTTTTTTCCCGGAAATCAGTCGTGACGAGTACCATCAGCTATATTTGCCAGCTGTAAGCTGCCTAGTTGTCCTGAGAAACTCAAAAACCCTGATAATTGGTAAATTTGGCCTACCACAGTGGGGCCCACTCAACTATCTCCAACCGTAGGATTGATTACCACACTTTTAGTCAAAGTCAACGTTTTATTTTTCTTGGGTTGGTCTTAAGGTGTTGGTCAGCTACATCCGTTGTAATGCGGAAGAGGACGCCACGTCATCACAAATGTCAAACTTGCTGCCCAAGTTCTTCCTTTTCTTCTACTCTTTTTTTTTTTTTCTCGTGACGAGCACACTTATGACTGCCACGTCGTCAGATGATGTGATGCCAAAATGCTTTTACAACTCAAGTTCGTGATTAAGATTATTTAATTATAATGGAGAAAGTCCCACGAGCCTCGTGCTGGTACTGCCTATATAAACCCTCATTTCAACCAGAACCAATCACCATCTTTCAATAACAAAAGCTTCAGAAAGTTTCTCCCTTCTGCGATCAACCAACCTTCTTTTCTCCTTCCTACGCTTCGATTCTTCGACTTTGGTTTTGATTTCTCCAAGTGTCTTCTCAATGATGAAGGGTTCGAAGATGGTCGGACCGCTGCTGATGCAGCTGGCTCCACGCCTCTTCTCCACGGCGACCACCTCCCGTCTGGTCACCAGCGAGCCGCTCCTCACCGGGACTACCAGTTTCCTCTACGCTGCACCGGCAAGGACGAGCGTGGCGTCGATCAGGCTTCCGGTGTTGGGGGTACGGAATGGGAGCACCGGAGCTTTGGGTGGAGATGAACAAACGCGGAACGGGCTACAGACCGATTCAACCGGTGGCACTTCCGGTAGCCCCAGTGACAAGCCGAAGCCAATCGTAAGTTACTGGGGGCTAGTTCCCTCCAAGGTCACCAAGGAGGACGGCACGGTTTGGAGGTGGAACTCCTTTCGGGTACGTATTTCAACGTTTCCAATGTAGTCGGTTCGGTGCCCTACAGTCCTACACCCCTACCSCCCCCCCTCCAATGCCCACGTGGCAACATATCTTGGGCTTAAAGGTCATAAGTGCCACGTGTCTAATATCATTCCGGTTATGGGGCTGACGTATCATAGAAAGAAAATAAACAATTTTTTCCATTTAATATAATTTTGTAAAAAGTGAATGTTAAAGTGGGTATTTCGATAATTTGGAAACAGCCATGGGAGACCTACCAAGCGGACCTGTCAATCGATCTGAAGAAGCATCACGAACCGAACAAGTTCCTAGACAAAATGGCTTACTGGACTGTCAAAACTCTCCGATACCCAACCGACCTTTTCTTTCAGGTACCCACTTTTCCCGGCATCATAGAACATTTAGAAGACGAAAATACCCTTAACTTTGATCTTAATTTTTCTTCTGTTACAGAGGCGATACGGGTGTCGGGCAATGATGCTAGAGACCGTGGCAGCAGTACCGGGCATGGTGGCAGGGATGCTGTTGCACTGCAAATCACTAAGGCGATTCGAGCATAGTGGGGGTTGGATTAAGGCTCTGTTGGAAGAAGCAGAGAACGAGCGAATGCACCTGATGACATTCATGGAAGTGTCTCAACCGAAGTGGTACGAGCGAGCTCTGGTCTTCACAGTTCAAGGCATCTTCTTCAACGCCTACTTCCTTGCTTACTTGATCTCGCCGAAACTCGCACACCGTGCTGTCGGCTACCTGGAGGAGGAGGCCATTCACTCGTACACCGAGTTTCTCAAGGAATTGGACAAAGGCAACATCGAGAACGTCCCTGCCCCAGCGATCGCCATCGACTACTGGCATCTGCCACCGGACTCTACTCTCCGGGATGTCGTGCTGGCCGTAAGAGCCGACGAGGCGCATCACCGTGACGTCAACCACTTTGCATCGGTAATCATCTCTTCTTCCTTTTTTACTGTTTCTTGGTTTTTCTCTTTTTGGGGATATCAGCTACCTCTTTGCAGATGCATTTGATTGATTGATTTGTTTATATTGGAATTGCAGGACATACACTTCCAAGGACAGGAGCTGAGGGAAATTCCTGCTCCACTAGGGTTTCACTGAAATCACTGAATGGATGGAGGGACGAGGGTATCTATAGTTCAGTAGAAGCTGAAGGATAGTATCTTCTGTCTCTTTTAATAAAGTAGCTCTTTAATGAGTTTTTGATCTAGTGTCTCGATTTTTCTCCTGTAAATACACTACAACTAGGTTTCTTATGGCCGTCGGCCTTCTTGTTTGATTCCTCTGTTTGTGTCATGTAAGTAGCTGAGAATTGTATGTGATTTTTGCGAATTCAATGAATAATTAAACTTCAAATGCTTACTCATTGAAAGTTGCAGTATAATCATTGATGTTAATCCAATACTTCTTTTTGTTCTTTTTATTTGAAAACTCAACGCTTACTCATTGAATCCCGATATCTCAGATCCATTCCTATGTTTCCTTTTATATCAGACCAACATGACCCAAATTGAGGGATTGATGCACTGATATGAACACGTAAGGGTTGATAAATATCTAAATACAAAGTCTTTAATTTGTTGGTTCGACTCTCAAGTATAAACTTATATAAATTGTCCCGATCAAGTAAAATTTGAGTGAACCATTGAAGATACAACACTGGAACTAAATGGAACTTGTTTGCAGAATAAACCAGAGGAACTAAAGGAAGCATTTGAGAAATTCCTAGTAAAATACAGTCTTCTGGGAGACGATAGCCAACTGATCCTGTCCCCAACCACAAATACTAGAGTCACATCAATATGCTGTAACATTGTATATTTATTTTTTCTCGACATAACAAAGACAAGGAAATAAATGATCACTTCAAGAAACGTTTCTCTTCTTCCCTATTTTTCTAGAAGAAAGAGAAACAAATAAAAGAAAAGCAAATGAATCCATCTAATGCCAACTCAACAACCTCTAAGGTAATAAAGTAAAACTAAACTTTCAACATACTCTTCACTACTGTAAAGATATCCATTCTTGTAATGATAACCTGTGGTTCATAGATTGCTTGTCCTTACAAGCAGCCCTCCTTCGAGACTGATTTGCACAGCTATGGCTCATGCCAATTCTAAGTGGGGTATAAATTTTGGTTGAATTCCAATCGGCTTCCAGGAGGGTGGATATGCAGACTTCTTTAAGCAGGTAGCTTCCATGGGAGATGCAGACTGCTACTTCCATGAATGATAGGCGGCAAATGCTACCACCAAGAAAAAATTAAATATTGTCCTACTAAGAATTTGGACAACCCGAAGGGGATAGCACATTCTATTATGTATAAACCCCTCTCTATCAAAAGCATTTCGCTGGATTGCTGGCTCCAGCCAAACTATCATCATCACTGTAAACCAATTGTAGTTTCACTATTGCTACTAAAACATCATGTCTTTGGTGACTTATTCACCTCCAAGATCTCCATCTTTGTTACATGTTTTTCAGGAAAAATCCCACCCTTATTGTAAAGAAGAACAATGTAGAGATAGCCAAATCAAACTTCAATATCACATAGTAACAATGTAATCTACCCTTCACTGTTCCCCTCTTTCACCAACTAAACCAATAAAGAATCAAGAAACACACTGCTCAACAACTGCTAAATAACATCCAAGGAAATGATAAACTTATATATTTGCAGCAAGCTGAGATACTACCCTCTTGGATTTCCTTCATCAGAAGTAGCCATAAAGACAAGTCCTCCAAAATTGCACCAACACAATCCACATGTGTAACTACAGATTGCAGACTGCCACTAAACCAAACTCCCTTTTGTAAATGTCCATCTCCGTTTGTCTCATTATGCTGAAAAGAACATGATCATTAAACTCCAGAGTGTCATCTTTAATAAGAACATAGGGCCTACTCCTCAGCGACCTGTCAATTACAGTCCAATCCACAATCCTCCAGTATAGGGCCATCCGACTTGGCCAAGAATGGATCAATGCGGACCCACAGAAGGGAGAAGATTGAGGCAAGAAGAATAGACCATACAATAATAATTGTGGGAGTTCTATTCTGCCGGCCCAATAGACCCTTGAGGAAGGGATAGAGGTGGACAATCACCCAGAAGGCAAAAAAGAGCCTACCAAACAAAGGACCCCATGACTCATAACCATTGTTTATTGCATTTGAGATGCCAGCAACCACTCCTATAATATTTATTAGTAGTAATGTTGTAGGAGGGATGAGCAGCGTGGTCCACTTGAACATGTATAGCTCTGAGAATTCTTCATCATCCCCTGCCTTTGACGTAACAGTGAAATTGGTATCTATACCAGCCAAAACCTTCAGAAGTCCCTGGAAGACTGCAAAAAGATGTGCAGAAACACCTCCTATGACCCAAAATTGCTCATTCCTCCACCAGTCATCAATACCTACACCACTCCATCTCATTTCAAGGATGCTTGTAGCAAAGATACAGATGAAAAGTGACAGAAACCATAAGCTAGCAACATTGCTAAGCTGCAGAAGAAATGAAATAGAAATTTGTAAGGACCAGTGACATAAAGTCAAGGTGTTTCTTGTCAGTAGCATATTGATTAGTTTTATACCTCTGGAGTGATAAATTTGCCAGTAAGCAAGCACACAGCGGGTAAGGTACAGTATGCCAGTAGAGGAATGGAAGTCCATGGATAGACGGTAGCATTTATGTAAGATAGACGCTCCAGCCATTTCAAACCACCCCCATATCCATACCATAGAGGACAGTGCCTGCTCAAGAAAATTTCTACAGAGCCCAGAGCCCACCGAAGGACCTGGTGCAGACGATCGGAGAGATTGATGGGTGCAGATCCCTTAAATGCTGGCCTTGATGGGATACAATATATTGATTGCCATCCATGGCAGTGCATCTTAAAACCTGTAAGGATATCTTCTGTAACGGAACCATAGATCCAACCAACCTGATGAAAAATATGCTTAGTGGAGGGTCGAAAGAACTCTGAAAAGAGAGAACTGTATATAGAGAAGTCAAGAAGCAGTCAACCAGTAAGCTTACCTCTTTTCCCCAATCTGTCTTGTCCTCATAGCCACAACTGATTACGTGAATGGCTTCTTTCAGCAGAGAAGCAGGGCTTGCACTTTTCAATGAACCACCATCTTCAAGCAAGGTGGATGCAACAAACACAGGAGATTGTCCAAACTTCTTTTCCAACTTCTGCTCAGATGTCACAGCTGACTTCTCACTCTCAACTGCTGAATATAAAAGTCCAACAAAGTAAGGGAACACGATTATCACCATATGATAGATGCAATACCCAATATGGGAGGGAAATGGGATGAACAGAACCAGAACTGACAGGAATTGGTAAAAAGGAAAAGAAACATGATTCAACTATGAACTACATGCAGCTAAAATGAATTCATAGCTTGAACTTCAAATGTGCAAATACATGGTGTTCTTTAACATTATTTGACAAAATCATACATCCCTCTAGCCTATCTTTATTATCCTGGATAGGTCTTAGAATCCTGTTTTTTGGCATGAAAACGGTAATACCCAAGTCAATCAAACATTCAGCGGTGCTTGAACGGGCAACTGGAAAACCAATTCAACTGACAATTTGCAACATAGATTTGCTCTAGTCAGTAACAAAGTTGAGATGTGTAATTGTGTAAATAGAATCTTCAGAAAGCTTCATGCATGACTTAACGAGCAAATACTTGTCTTCTTCAATTAAAATAGGCAGACATTTTGAAAGAGATTGGCCAACACCACTAATTTTTCCAATGACCGATAAAGCTCAGACTGACCATAAGATAAAATGTGACAATTGAAGTATATTATAAAGTCCTCAAACAGTGCACCAAATAATTATTTGCACATAATCTTCAAGAGGAAGAAACTAAAAAATAATATATGAATCTAAATGTAAACTTTGAAGTTTAATGAGAAAAAGAAGAATGATGTAACTGCCATTAAATAAGAAAAACTTTTTACCTCCAATGCTCTCTTCAATACTCTCCAAAGCAAGAACAGGTAGCCCCGCATCTTCCCTCCTAAAACCCCTCTTTTTCTTATCAGATTTAGGCTTTGTTGTCTTCTTCTTCCTCTTCCCAGAACAACAGCATCCACAGCAGCACCACTTTGGCCAACAATTGCATGTCCTTGTGGGTGGCTTCTTTGTCTTTGGAGCATCATAACCATACAGAGCTTGCCTTCTAAACGCACATCCAGTCCCAACATAAATGGGCCCTTGAATCCCATCCAGACCCTTCATGTTAATCTGGTGCAGGAAACTTATCCATTAGTTTCATCATAGAAAGCTGCAACTATACATTCTATGTGAACACAAAGAAAGACTAAGAAAGCAAATTATAAGACTGGACAATGCAACTCACATCAAAGAATACAATGTTCCTGTTGGCATATCTGTCATGCTTATCAATGCCATCAAACCTTTGTGGGAATTGCACATAACACACTTTCTTTCCCAATAGTGGATCCATCATGAAACACATTGCCTCTCTGAGAGCCTTGCTGTTATTAATGTAGTGATCACAATCCAAGTTTAATAGATAAGGTGCATTGGTGAGCACAGCAGAGACCCTGACCTGGTTTATTAGACAAGTTACCCAACAAAAAAGAAATAAAACATTTCTATCAGTCTCATAACAATAAATGAAAACAATCGGCTGTTTATTGGTCACTTACCAAAGCATTCATGGCACCAGCCTTTTTGTGGTGATTAAATCCTGGTCTCTTCTCTCTAGAGACATAAACTAAGCGAGGAAGTTCATTTCCCTCTGTGTCATGTCCCCCACTTTGTCCTAGAAAGACCTGAAGTGCGGATCACAAAAGAAATATTAGAAAGCAGACTCGATAAAATCTGGGATTGAGTATTAAAACTCCACATCTTTACCTGAATCATGCCAGGATGATCTCGGACATTATTTCCAGGCCATGGAGTTCCATCCTGCATTGTCCACCCTTCTTCTGGTACCTTTTGAGCCTTCGCAACCAAAGCATTGATCCGAACTTTGAACTCTTCATATTCTCTCTGCAAGTCCAATCCAAAATATTTTATTATATTAACCACTCACCAACAAAGCAACAAGTATGGTGTGGTTAATAACTGGATTTAACTGTGACTTCATTACCTTCATAGCCCTTCGCTCTTTGATGAATGAAGTTAGGACCTTATCTTTAAGGTAATCAATTTTCTGAGCAAAATACCACTCGGGTGCCCTAGGTTCAATATTGAATTTCTTGCAGAAAGGGACCCACTTCCTTGCAAATTCAGATGTTTCTGATAATGCTTCAAATGTCAGCATGGCAGCACCATCATCTGATACATAGCAAGAAACTTTGTCGACAGGGTAGTCCACAGCAAGAATGGATAGAACTGTGTTTGCAGTAACCAGAGGAGGCTCTTTTAATGGATCCACCGTACTCACAAATATATCAACCGAAGAGAGTTGAGAAGGCTGGCCTTCTTTCTCATACCTGCAAAAACAATCACAAATTATAACTTTTTGAATATATTGCTGGGCATTCAAGAAAAAAAAAATCAAGTCCGGTGAATTTAACTGAACACTACCTTAAGGATAGCCGATCTAGATAGGTTTCCCGATCAATTGGGAGCCACTTTGGAAACTGATCCAGGATCCATGAAATGGCAAACCAAATCTCGCATATCACAGATATGAGCCACAATGGATATGCATCATTTACTGGATTTGTGACACGGTAATGAAGAAAGAACCCAAGAACTACAAGCCGGATTATGATGATCATTCGATAGGGGTTAATTTGACTTGATGGAATAGGCAATTTTCTTGATAACGGTTGTCTAGCTCCATCCATTCTGACAAATAGAAGTTAAAGAACCATAACAAAGCAAGGTCATTACAGTTTTCAGCTAATGATAGAAAGAAGTAATATGTACAAGGGAAGTCCAATACTATAATCAAGCAATTGGAGTACATTAAAGAATTAAAGTTAGCTTTCAAAGATTAACAGCGATTAATAAAAAAACATTTTTAGTTAATGGAAAAAGAATTTGAGATAAAGTGAAAGGAAAAAGTGTTAATTCCTATGATTAACACTTACAGTTTAAAAATATAATAGCATTACTTAAGATTTTAAAGAGTTTGAAAGCTTGCAGGAGCTATGAAGTCACATACAGATACTAAAACAGACATGGATATAGGAAATAGGAATATAACCCTCCATTTTCCAAGATCCAGAACATGGAGCACAGGTATGAGTGGCCCATTTAATATGTTTACATCACGCTTTATATCTATTTTTTAAGCTGAAAGCCATTTCTCAATACATATCTCTTGCTAATTTAATTAACTATGATTTTTTATGTTATGATTTGTTAAAACATGTTTTAACATAGGTACTTGATGTTGTATTGGCTACATACTGTGTGTGACGCTGGTAGATTAGGCATATACAGGCATAAGGTATCATAATGCAGGGAGTAGTCGAGTACAAAAACAAGTTGCTTTAAGCAAACCAACTCCTTGACAATCCAATCAATTTATCATCAAGGAAAGACAGTAAGATAATTCCACAATATCAGGTATCATCTTATTATCACTGAATTATCTAATTTCAGATGATATAGAAGCTCTGTAATGAATTAATTTTCCATTGAGATGTCCAAAATTATGCAACTGAATATAAAACAATAACATCATCACCAATTTTCCAGTGACTTTTTCTTTCAGATACTAGAGAGCGTTTTTTTTTTTTTTTTTGAGCACTTACAGGGGAAGATCTGGCCCATCACCGTCATTGTCCCAATCCTTGCCACCGTTTTCATTCTTCATGACCTGTAGTTTCTCTTGCCTTTGCTTCCAATTCTCCATCCTTTCCTTCCAAGCCACACTTCCATAACCATATGCAGCCAAGTCCTTGGACGGATCCATAGATCTGGGTTGAACTGCAAATGAAAGAAAATGAAAACTTTCAAGGTGTATCTTAACAAAGAAGAGCGTCGCAGCTCAGGAATGAAAAAATAAATAAATAGCAAGTCACCCTATGGCTAATAAACTCAGCTAAAAGAACACAAATAGATGCAGTTCAAAGGGTAGATCAAAGCACCTGGTACGCTAGGATCTGAGAAAGGAAGTGGATGGCTTCTCCCTCCATTGGCCATGAAAGATGGGACCAAAGCATGCTGTTCAGGAGGGATATCGTCAACCTACAACAGCCCAGATTCTATAAGAAACAGTTCTGTATCAACACTAGGAGAAGATAGACTAGCAAAGAAATTCATTCAACTAAGACAATATGTGCGTGTTAGTATGTTTGATAAAAAAAGGAAAAAGAAATTTGCAGAGCTGACGAAGTTGGATCATTGGTAACAGAGGAAACTGGTACCATCTGGCCGTTGGTCAACAGAGGAAGTTGGGTCGTTGTTTGAACTGCTTGAGGCATGTCAGCATCCCCAGCTCGGCCATAGGCCATTTGCCCCTGAAGCATAGCCTCCGAAAGGTACTGTATATCCCGCTTATCCCTCCCAGCGAAATTAAATTCATTCTCAAGGTCGTCGATATCATCTTCTTCTTCATCGCCCGCCACTCTAGCAGACCCTGGAAATTCCAAATTTCTTTGAACAACAAGATACCAAAACGAAGAAGACAAAAAGGAATTGCAGAACTAGTAGCAGAGCTCACCCTTGAGACGTTTGAATCGAGTTTTGCACTGTGGACAGACCTGGTTTCCTTCTCTCCTCTCGTACTCGTAGCAAGTCCTGCAGATTGGAAAGGCACATTCGTTGCAGGCAACGAAGAGCTCTCCATCAACATTAAGACCAACATCATCCCCACAAATCTGGCAGGTTTGACCAACCAGTGTCTGCAGTGGCTTCGGCTGCAACAACAACAACAACAACAAGAAAGAAAACCCAAAAGCTTAAAATTTCCAAATTCTTCAAAGGTTAAACACCCAACCAGTAATGCTGGATCTGAAAAACCAGAGCAAATCAAAGAACACTTACCCCACATTCTCCTTCCCGACGGATGACGACTAGTTCATTCCTGTTGTAGGAGCCTGCAACTAAACCTGCAGCGGCCTCCATTGTTCATCTGCCACTCTCCTTGAAAACCCAGATAAAAAACCCGATTTTTTTCCTTGAAAACTATTCTTTCCTTCTTTAACATATCGCCATCAGGGAAAAAAAAAAAAAACAAGAACAAAAAACTGAGTTAAACCTCAGGTGCATACAGCTGCCAAGTGCCAATGTCACACCAACTCCTCTCTACACCATTTTCACGAACAGCTTCTTGGAAAATAGAAAAAGAAAAAGAAAAAACTCCACCGACACAACCAAAGCGAAGCGTCAAAAAATAATTAATCTCTATCACGACCAATGATGAGAGAAGAGAGTGATGAAATATTGCAGACTTTTAGCTGTAAATTTCCTTGTTTTGACCCCACACACACTTTTTTTTATAAATCAAGTTTCTCTCTGCTTTCTCGAATCTTTACGCTTCTTTCGCCTCTTAGTTTGGGTTTTGACTCAAGTTTTTACGCTAATCATTTGCTCTCTCTCTCACAGTCTCACTCTCTCTTCACTGTACCAGCACAAAACCATAATTATTGGAAACTTGTTCTTCTGGCCGTCTGRGACTTGCCATTAATTGTTGTTGCCGGTTTATACGAAACGAAAACACCGATACGGAAATACTGCATTTACTGCGAAAGTGATTTGCTACTACTACACGTACTACTAGTACCATACAATTTACCTCCACGTGAATACATTGGGAAACGAAAAAGTAAAACACTTTTCTCCGTTGTCATTGCAAGAAGTTTCTATTAAAAAACCAAAACACTTTAAAAATGTTACTCCCTGCCAAACAAGTCACKTTGCGATTTCGAAACACTCCGTTGTTCCAACACAATGGTTAAAATTAATAAACCGGGCGTTGACCACACAAGCTGGCCAAGTGACGGGTTGGGTGATTCAACCGAACCCCAAGGCCAAATTAGCTGTCTGGATTTCTGGATCATCAATCCACCGGTTCAAGTCTGGGTCAAGGATGAAGGATGACTGGAAAACATTAGTCGAGTAGTCATTTATTACTTTGGTTTGAGATGCAATGGAATCAACTATTGTTGTGTCTCATGCATCCTAATCTTGACCCAGATGCTCAATAAATAGACACGTGGCAAGTTATAAGATATATTTTTTTCTTTAGCTAGAAAACAAGCAAATAAAACCATTCATTGTGGGTACTGTTTAACCAATAATTAGGATTAATACTCCAAAAACAAGAAATAATAATACCAGGAAAAAGAAAAGAAAGAGTCTCCATCAAAATGTCTTGTAACCAGCTAATGGGTAAGGTTGATCCAGACAACTAGCAAATAGAACAAAAAGTTTAAATTAGTCATTCATTCCAGTTGCCATCAACGAGGGTGTCTATATATCTTCTTATTTCCTTCCACATGACATGTGAAAAGTGAAAACTAGGAAATCTTATGAATTAGTTAATTAATTAACCAAAGAAGGTAAGAATACTTTTAATATTTTATATTTGTAGGAGTTTATTGGTGAACTTCTCCTTGGATCTTTACTGAAAGGTGACTGAACTGTTCTTATAACACTAAATTGCGTATAAAATCTAGGGTTGCAGGTCTATGTACCCCATAAAGACCAAAAGAAACTATAGGACTTTTTGGAATGCTAAGTGTGGTCTGTCATATCATGTGGCTCAACAAGTGGAACTTAACTTCTGTTTCCCATCCAAACAATCAAAATCAATAAGAAGCCCTTGACCAGCCAGGTTTTTTTCCTTCTTACTGTACCCTTTCAATCCCCATATACCCCCTCATTGAGTTGCAGTTTTCCTCACATAAGAAGACCTTGCTTTGGGAACGTGGAGAGATATTCTAGGGATAAAATATGACTCACCAATTAAAAAGTGACAGTTATTGGAAGTTGGAACATTGGGAGAACATTTGAAACCCTTAGTTCCCTAGCAAGGCCACTCCCTTTATATAACCCATGTTAATGTGGTTGCAAAAATGGTTTAGATATACCTATATCTATAATTTGATTCATTAATAGTTAGATATGAGAAGAATCTTATCCCTAGCTTGGATTTGGATTTATTTGGATATTGAATGTTATTAATAAGTTAATCTAAAAATTATCAATCTACTGCGTATTATTAGTAATATAAACTAAATATGACTTTGACCTAAAAATACACAAAATACATGTATAGAATGTTCGGGTCACATTGGGCTTGGGCTTAGATTAAGCCTAGCCAATCCTGAGTTCAAGTCAGACCTGAGTTTTCTGGCCCAAGTTTAGCTTGGAATCTAAAAGGTCAAGCTCAAGTTAGATCTAGTGGGGCTCACGTTAAGCCTGCCCAAGTTCAAACCCTCATTATAATTATATCAAATAAGGATCTACCCTTACATGATCTTCTTATATAATCAAATTTGATTCACTTAAATTAAATGAATCCGCCTATATGCTTGAGATTTATATCATATCTATTAGTAAAGTTGGTATGAATTCAATGTTTTTACCAAAGAGTCATTGGTTCAAACTTCATAAAATTTATTTTCAATATATTGTACTAGTAGGGACCCAACGGGAAATATAAAAGACTGAATAATTTTATTTACTATTAATTATTTGATAAATTAATAATCAAAATTTGCTGTTAATTAACTAAAAATATTCAACTTTATTGTTAATATTTAAAATTTTAATAATTGTATTTTTCATTTAATGTTCATTTACAGAAAATAATTATTGTTAATTTAATATGAACAAATATTTTTTTAATAAATTTAATTTTATTAATCATTTATAGTAATTTTAATAATTGTTATTAATTTCATTATTTTTAATGAAATTTTGATTGACTTTAAATAAATAAAATAAATACAAAAGCTAACATTTTTATTAATTTCACTAATAATTAACAATTATATAGGAATGAAAACTAATAGTTAACAATAAAAATAATTGTTAATTTCACTAATAATTAACAATTACAGGGCACCCCATCCCTGTCCCCGCCCCATAGTAAAGACACTCCACCCCATCCCTACTATTAGGCAGGTTCAAGGCAAGGCACCCACTCCCCATCAACCCAATATTCAATTTGATGACAAAAATGATTAGAAAAATATATTGAGTATCAGGCACATGGTAAATTTCTAAATTGTCTTTAGGGAAATTGTCTAAAACTCACCATGAGTTTTCAGCATTTCTCTTAAACTCGCCACAACTTTTCAAAATGTCTAAAACTCACCATGTCACTAACTTGATGTTAAACAGACTAATGGGTGTTAATATATTACCATTTTAACCTTCATAGAAAAATATAAAATATATACTAAATAAATTAACGAGTGTTAATATATTACCATTTTAACATTTAGACATGAAAAAAAGGAAAAGTTCAAAAAATATTTTCAAATATAAAATACATAAAAACATAGAAATTACAAAAAAATATAAAAAATTATAGAAATTGCAAAAAAAATAAAAAATATTTTCAAATTATAGAAACTGTAGAAATTGAAAAACAAAATCAGAAAATAAAAATTGTAGAAAAAACAAAAAATTATAGAAAAAAACAGAAATTACAAATAAATAACAAAAAGTACAGGAAAATTTATAGATTGTAGAAAATAGAAAATGTAAAAAAAAAAAACAGAAATTATAAAAAACATTGGAAATTATAACAAAACACTAAAAATGCAAAAAAACAAGAAAATTGAAAACTGAAAAAAAAAACATTTTCCTTTAACTCACTTTCAAGGGCATTTGGTCATGAAAATTATTATTTATGCTGACATGGACACTTTTGTTAAAAAGCATTAACGGTTTACTAACGAAGGTGAGTTTCGAAAAATAAAAAGTTACTAGTAGGGACCCGTGTGGTGCACGAGAAAATCTAAAAGATTTAATAATTTTATTTTTTATTTAATGTTGATTTTATAAAAAAATAATTATTGTTAATTGAATATGAACAAATATTTTTTGATAAATTTAGTTCTATTAATAATTTGTTGTAATTTTAATAAATTTTATTCTTTTTTATTATTTTTAAATGAAATTTTGATTAATTTTAAATAAATAAAAATAATTATAAAAGCTAACATTTTTATTAATTCCATTAATAATTAGCAATTATATAGGAATGACAACGGGCTGGGTTCAGGGCAGAGCACCCAATCAAGACATTCTACTCCATTCCCGCCCCGTCCCTAGTGTCATGCGGGTTCAGGGCAAGGTAACCACTCCTCAATGTCAGACGAGTTCAAGGGCAAGGCACCCCACTCCTCATCAAGAATGGAGAATCCTCGAATTTCCCTACCCCGTCCCCAATATTGGGCGGGTTCAAGTAGAGGTGTAAATTGGGTCGTTCGACCCGCATGTGGCCTACACAAAGTGTGAGTCATGCTGTGTTGGCCCACAAGGCGTCCTGGGCCGTGCCTCCCTCCTCTAGGATAATTTGGGGGGTCAGTTTGGCACGGCCCATGGCTCGAGCCTGCACGGGCCCATATCATGTCGTGGGTCAGGCTAGTCTATGGGGTGGACCTTGGGCCAGGCCATGCCGCACACCAAGCCAAGCTCAAGGTAAGGCACCCACTCCCCGTCCAAAGTTTTTAAAATTGGACCGGATAGGAAACCTTTCTGGGGCCAAACGGTTTGACTGTTCGGTCCGAATGGATGACCCTCTCTAACAAATAAAATTAGAAAAACAAAAAAAATGCCAAAAACTATTGTTCGGGTTGACAGTTCGACCGCCCAACTTAGCGGTTCACTAACCAAATAAACGGTTTTTGGACAAAAAGCGGTTTTGAGGTGAAACAATGTCCAGTTCCCAATTTTTCCGGTCTAACCATCTGGTTTGATCCAGTTTTGAAAACACTATCCCCGTCAACCCAATATTCAATTTGATGATGGAAATGATCAAAAGGATATATTGAGTATCAACCACATGGTAAATTTCTAAAAGTACACTAAATTGTCTTTAATATTCAAAAATGTAATTTTATGAACATTTTGAAAAATTTATTGTACTTGTGTAATTTTGAAAATTTATTTAATTTTTATTAAATAATTTGTTTTCTTTTTAAATGGTTTACTTACAGAATTATACTAATTTATCTTATAATTTCTAATATAAACTAACCAATAATTTCTTATTTTCAATATTATACTAATTTATCTTAATAATTTGTGTAATTATTTGTTCAAATTATAGTTTTCCATTTCCCTTAGTCATTTATCTTTAATAATTTTCAATAATTTGCGATGAAAATTATATAAATTTTCAATGGTTTTCCAAAATCTATCAAATTTAATAAAATTTCCTAAAATTTCCAAAATATTCTAATAATT